CTTCATCCGAGATGATGAGTACTAAAGCCGCTTCCACAGATCGCAGCTCGTGGGTTTTACTTTATTACTCTCTTCTTATTAATTTGTCCTCTTACATTTTAGAATTTTGCGTGATTGGTGAGGTGGCGCGAGTGTGATGTTGTATGCATTTCCCACGATTGTGTTCCAGCGCGTGAGCTGAAGGTCTGGTTGGTGGGCAGACAGGGTATTTGTGTTTTATCAGGTCCTGCGTGAATGGCAGATGGTCTCTGGCTGCTGTGTTTTGCTGCGATACATTTTTTGGGTGATTGGTGTGGTATGCTCGCGTGGCTAGTGTGATCTATTTTTTTCTTCTGTTCTTTTTTTTGAATCGGGAACGATTCAGTCTTTTGTCTTTTGAGGAGGCCGCAGTGTATACATTAATTTTTGTGTTATGTTCTTGTTTGTTTTCCGAGGACGGATAATTATTTGAGAGGGGAGCAGTGTAGTAGACGGATTTTCTACCGTATCACACCGTATGTACCGTATATCGATAGACTTCCCATATCGTATATAGTACGTTATTTTGTGTACGTTGTGTGTACGTTATGCTGGTGCATGCGCGTGTTGCTGTAGTATGAAAAGCAGTCTTCGTCTTGAGTTCATCATGTCTTCGTCTTGAGTTCGTCTTGTCTAGTTGTGTTTCTTCGTCGTGTCAATAAACAGTCTTCTAAATGTAGTCATCGTCGTCCCTTGGAATAAGTGTGGAGATGGCACGGGACTGGGAGCAGGTGGAGAAAGGCCAGTTACTACAACCGGAGACTTCTGAACCAAGCCCGGTTGGAGCAAATCCAAAAATATGAGTCAACAGACAACATTGTCATTCAAAACAATTTGGCCTCTTCCATTGGTGTATTTATCCTGTCGAGGAGCAGCCCTCCATCAAAGTACTCGGCGTCACGTTTGACCAACAGCTAAAATTCAGCGAACATATCCGAACTGTTGCAGTCCGAGCAATGCAGAGACTTGGAGCCTTGCGCAAGGCATTTCACTTTATTGGCTACTCCTGCCCGACTTCGAGCGTACAAAGCCTTTGTTCGGCCGGTTATGGAGTACTGCCCAATCGTCTGGATGGGGGCAGCTCCTTCCCACTTGAATCGGCTGGACTGGGTGCAGGAGCGAGCCATCAAGGCAATACATCTGCTATGCTGGCTTCCTAGCCTCACAATTCGCCACACCATCGCTGCTCTCTGCCTCCTGTATAAAGCCCTTTGCGATAATTCTCCCTCTCTTCTCCCGAGAATGGCTCTACCCCCGACACATCAGCCCAGGACCGCACGCCTCACCCGCCAGGCTGTACGACTATCCACCGCGCATCCCCATCAGTTACGGAATGTTCTTCCTGCCAATTCCCGGAACAATGTGAGCCGAGCCTTTCCCCACTCCGTTATCCCCATTTGGAACCAGCTGCCTGCCTCTATCATTCCCCACCCATTTCACCCAAAGAACATCCAAAGTTCAAGACCGCAGCTTATCACTATCTCCTCAGAACAAATGGCACTGGGCCACTCATAGCATACACGAGTAAGAGGGTACAGTGTCCTACCCTGCTTGGACCCAACCTCTCCTCACAGACAGTCTCCTCTTGAATTTAAAAGCCTAACAGCGTTCACGTCAATACACAACTCATTCTTTTGCTCACTGAGCAATACAATCTTTTCATTTTCTTTCTTCTGTTTTCTTTTTCAACTTAATCCTCCCTACCCGATTTCCCTTTGGTGCGTCCATGGAGCTATGAAGGCGAGACCTCTGGTCGGCTGAGCTTTTATGGGCCCCACCGCCACACTCCATTATTCACCCCAGTGTCTAGAGATATGTGGATTTTGTAGAGAGAAAAAAAACAGTGCCATCCGACTGGCCAAACAAACTAGCAGTGATTTGCTCCTTGTCGGGGACTTCAAAGCTAAGAACTCCGTCCGGCTAGCCAGCGACACTTCCGACCGCTTAGGAGACGACCTCCACTGCCTGTACGCTACCCATGGACTGCAACAACGCGTCAGCTTCCCGACGCACATACACAGACAAGAACCCAGCTCCTACCTAGACCTCATCATATCCAACTCCCAATACGGCACCAGCATTTCCCAACTACAGCCCCTGGGCGCCTCGGACCCCGTTGTTGTCACAGGGACCATCGCCATCCCACAGCCAACAACTCACGACAGCGCACCACGGGACAACGACAACACCTATTGGTTGTGGACAGACGAACGGATTACATCGCTGCATGCTGCTATAGGCTACTCACCACTACACTACACATCCACTCCCCATGACCCGTATCCTGTCAACGCTTTCTGGAACCACTGGAGATCACAGCTTCTGCAAGCTGCCACCAGACACTGCCAAATCACACGAACCACATTGCGAACAAACAGAAACACCGCCCCAACACGCAGTTGGATCACAAAAAACCTCCTCCGTGAGATTAATTAAGGAGAAGCACAAGAAGTTCCGCAACTACCAAGCTACCCGCACGGCACTTGCAGTGACTGGCAACACTTCACTGCTCAACGCAACATTATAACCACTCTTCTCCGTCGCAGCAAGTCTGAATTTGTCCAACGCACTGCCATGGAAGGAACAAACCTCCATCACCTTATCAAACACTTCAAAACGCCACCCAAGCGCACCATCCCAAATCACATCACCCTCACCATCACTGTGACTACTGCCTCAGACAAAGCCTCTGTCCTGAATGAGTTTTTCGTTCCCCAGAGCCAGCTATCTGTCAGCAACTGCTCACCAGATACCCCGCCCATTCATATAACGCCTGACCACCATCACAACATCGACAGAAGAAGTCCAGAAGCTTCTACAAGGTCTCAACACACACAAAAGCCCTGGTTCGAACCACCTACCAACCAGTCTCCTCAAAGAAGCAGCACCCGAAATTTCAGAATCTCTGGCTGCCCTCCTGAACCTGCCCTTTGCAACCGGAGAAATTGCCCAAGACTGGAAAGATGCCACAATCTCCCCCATCCCCAAGTCAGGAGACCTCTCCCAGCCAACAAATTACCGGCCCATCTCTCTGCTCAGCATAACCTTAAAAATAGAAGAAAAAATTGGTCACTCGCGCCTCTACAAACACATTTCACCGCACTTACCTTCTAACCAATCCGGATTCAGGGAGAAAGACGGCACGGAGCTGCAACTTGCTCGACTGGTGCATGAAATTTCGGAGGCTCGTGACTCAGGAAAGCACATTACAGCTTGCTCTTTTGACCTGAGCAAGCCTTTGACCGAGTATGGCATCAGGGCCTCATGGCCAAACTCAAGCACTATGGTGTCCAGGAAGCATCACTGCGATGGTTCTCGGCGTACTTGATAGGGCGTAGGCAGCGAGTGTGAGTTGAGGGCACTACATCAGCCTTCCTCCCCATCCCGGCCGGAGTGCCTCAGGGCTAAGTCCTGAGATCACTGATGTTTCTGGTGTACACCATCGACCTGCCTGCCGCTTGCGAGAAGGCTAGCGCCAGGCGAAGCCAGTTTGCTGACGACACAGCCCTCGTCTGCTCCAGCCGCTCTGCCGCACACTGCAAACTGCAACTGCAGAGCAGCGTGTCAGCCGCCGCTGGATGGTTGGAGCGCTGGCACCTCCTAATCAACAGTACAAAAACGGTAGTCCTCACCTTCTACAACGGAAATCTGCTATAATGTCCACAAACACCACCAGTCACTAAACAATCAGCTCATGTGATAACACTGTACGACACTCACCAACGGTACTGACGCTCCACAACTAACTGACTATGAGTTCTAGAATGTCTTGCATGCACACTCCAATAGCAGTATGTTATCATAACTTAGAACCTTCCAATTTGGAAGGCTGTTGGAGTGCGCATCCAGGACGTACTAGCACCTGTTAAGATGTCAAAAGATTATTTTTTTCCATTTGGCTCTGCAGTTACAGCATGTGTCTCTCACTCTTTGCCAATCTTCTTTTGTTCGATGTTACCATCAATCTTCTTTTGTTCGATGTTACCATCAATCTTCTTTTGTTCGATGTTACCATCAATCTCCTTTTGTACGATGTTACCGTCTGTTCAGCTTCGCTGTTCGAGTTCACGAAGCCCAAGGGCACCGTAAATGGGGAAACAGATAGCTGACGTGACCAGCACACGATTTTGATTTGGGTTTTGAGTATGAATAGAATAGTGGAGGTCGTGTGCATCTTGGTTTCGCACTGTAGTTTGGTACAGTTCTGGACCCCTTCAATGCAAGCTTTTTTCACCCACTTCCAATCATCTCAAAGAAAAGCGAAGTACACTATCGTGCCCAGGAATCGAAAGACTACAAGATTAGACAGAGAAGGTTTTGGTGACAGGTCCAGTCTAACTTACTCAGTACCATCTTTATTGTACGAATGGACTAGAACCAAAAGAGCAGGGGTTTATCGGTTGGACCTACATTATTTTTGTGTATGGAAATAACCTTACGATCGATTGAAAGTTAGAAAGATTTCGATCCCAGGGCATGAAAGTTGTACAGTCCGTACACAAAGGGTTAAAATTCGTGTTTTGGTGCCCACTAAACATTTGCAAAGAGAGAGAGAATGCTGCCAGCTCAGGGGTCTCGCTATGCTTTCGGTTGACCTCGGTCACCATGCATGTGTTTCAAGCTGGTAAAAACATCTTAAATACAATTATTGGTTTCCTGTTCTTGCAAATATGTTTCTATCAGCTCCAGTAACAGTAGTGATGACCTAGGTAAAACAGAGGAATAGCAAGGGTCCTCAGCTGGCAGGTCTCCTAATCCTTCATTTTTTTGACCACACATACATGTACACTTCTTATCCAAAGCTGACTCCTGCAGCCCCAGCAATACCATAACCATATGTGCAGTATGTCAAAATGCTTAAAATCATTAATTGCTAGTGAACAGTATAGAATCCAACTGGGAATGAAAAACGTAACATTCAATGTACTTTGTCATTCAAAACAATTTAGAATATTCCATTGCTTTTTGAACTGTATTGTTAGGAGACTGTAAGAAACCCCCGAACCCAACTTGGGGTACGTATCCAATGGATGGTTCTACAACTCACGGCAGTACCAAGACAATAACTTGTTCTTCTGAATATGTCGTCAATCCTTCTGCAACAACACCAACTATCACATGCCAAGCCGGTGGAACTTGGACAGTGCCTAGTGTGCCTCCATGCCTACGTAAGCTATTCTTGATTTAAATGAGAGTTTATAGTAGAGAAAAGGACCAAGGAAGTACAAGTTATGCTATAATGTCCACTAACACCACCAGTCACTAAACAATCAGCCCATGTGATAACACTGTACGACACTGACCAACGGTACTGACGTTCTACAACTAACTGACTATCAGCTCTAGAACGTCTTACAGGCGCACTCCAACAGCAGTATGACTTCCAAGTTGGAAGGCTGTTGGAGTGCGCATCCAGGACGTACTAGAACCTTTAAAGATGTCAAAAGATTAAGGCTTTCCATTTGGCTATGCAGCTTAAACATGTGTCTCTCACTCTTTGCCAATCTTCTTTTGTTCGATGTCACCATCAATCTCCTTTGGTTCGATGTTACCATCTGTGCAGCTCTGCTGTCCGAGGTCACAAAGTGCAAGGACACCGTAAATGGAGAAACAGATAGCTCGAGTGACCAGCACACGATTTTGATTTGGGTTTTGAGTATAAATACAATAGTGGAGGTCCTGTGCAGCTTGGTGTCGCACTGTACTTTGGTACAATTCTGGGCCCCTTTTATGCAAGCTATTTTCACCCACTTCCAATCATCGCAAAGAAAAGCGAAGTACACAGTCGTGCCCAGGGATCGAAAGACTGCAAGATATGACAGAGAAGGTTTTGGTGACATGTCCCGTCTAACTGACTTGAACTCAGTACCATCTTCATTGTACGAATGGATTAGAACCAAAAAAGCTGGGCTTTATCGGTTCGACCTACATATTTTAATGTATGGAAAGAACCTTACGATCGATTGAAAGTTAGAAAGGTTTCGATCCCAGGGCATCAAAGTTGTACAGTCCGTACACAAAGGGTTAAAATTCGTGTTTTGGTGCCCACTACACATTTGCAAAGGGAGAGAGAGAGTGCTGGCAGCTCAGGGGCCTCGCTATGCTTTCGTTAGACCTAGGTCATCATGGATGTATTAAACTGGTGAAATATCTTAAATACAATTATTGGTTTCCAGTTCTTGTATTGCAAAATTAATATGTTTCTATCAGCTCAAGTAACAGTAATGATTCATTCAGACTTTATTTGAAGGATTCTCCAAAAGTAAATGCATACTTATCGGGGGAGTTTCCTGGAAGGGTGGATGAGACGAAAGGGAAGTGAAAAGGGAGAAGGGAAAATAGTACTTAACAGAAACACTGCTCAGGGAAAACTGCAGGTAAAACCACCAAGGAGAAACAGAATACATGACGAGAGCTAGATACGAAAATCAGGAATTCCAGTGGTGGAGAATTTGTACGTTAAATAATGGTCCTTCAGGAGAAGCCGAAACTTAGCAGAAGATCGCTCCCTGCGTAGGCTCTCAGGAAGCTTGTTCCAGACCGTGAACTGATAAACCGAAAAGAGGAGATTTAAAGAAATGAGTTCCAGAACGAGGCAAAACGATAGAGGAAGGGTGGCGGCAGCTGCTGGAGATGGTGAAACTAAACTGGCTCAGTAGTGCTGGAAATTGGTAGAATACATGATGAAAATAAACTAGAAAGAGAATTTGACGACGCCATTGGAGCAATTCCCATCACACAGATGATTCAGAACATTCTTGGATGTTGTCCAAGTAGGAAGCTGTCTGGTCTTGCGCATTAGGTAGGATCGGGCAGCAGTAGCTTGTAGTCGATCCAATGTGCAGGATTGCGTAGACGACATGGCGAACAGCCAAACAGGGTCCAGTAAGGGTCTCACGTAACATTTATACAGTAAATTGATGGTTGGTGCAGGGAGACAACGAGTCATGTGGCATAATAGAAATGCTCTACTGCGATACTTACTAGTGATTCTAGTAATATGGTCAGAGAAACTAAGGTTCAGGGAAAGGGTAATACCAAGGTGACAGTGCCTGTCAGCCGTCGTAACCTCAGTGTCATCCATTTTGAAGGGGATGGGCAGGAAGTCACAGCATGTTTCCGAAAGGACACATGAACACACTTGCTGGTGTTACACTTCATGGCAGTGGTTCTTGACCATTTGAGGCAATGTTCAATATCAGCTTGAAAGCTGGCACGGTGAGCGGGCACTGAAGTTTTAGGCGGGGAAACAAGGATTAAATTGGAGTCGTCAGCAAAAAGAGAGAGTACTGGAGACAGGGGCATCAGGAAAAGAGTTTATGCATAGATTAAAGAGGATGGGGACCGAGATGAGACCCCTGAGGCACCCCAGCTGTGATGGGCAACGGATCAGATTGACTTTGCCCAACTCGGACACAGATATTACGGTCACTGATGAAGTCTTTAATCCAGTCGCAAGCGTTTGACGAGCACCACCCGGAAACCGACTCCAGGATCAAGTTGTGGCCGACCCTGTCGAATGCCTTGGAGAAATCCAGGAAAAGCTGATCACAAGGTGATTACATGTCAAGAGCGCAGGAAACCGTGGTTGTAAGCTGAACAAGTTGGTCGACTGTTGACTTGGTTCTGCAGAATCCGAATTGGTTTTCACTAATAAGCTTATGTTTCTCAACAAACGAATAGAACTGGCGACTGACAATTGACTCATGTACCTTAGCGATTCCATTTACCAGAGAAATTGGGCAGTAGTTGCTCGGTTCGGCTGGGCAACCTTTGCCTTTAAAGATGGGTACCACAATGGCAGATTTGCATTCACGAGGCTGTGTTTTGGCGAGTAAACAGCGGTTGAAGAGGACTGCGAGGGATTGGGAAGTAGCTTAAGCAGTTTCTTTGAGAATTCGGTTACATAACTTGCCAGCAGTAGAGCGATATATGGACAGTCTATGTAAACTATCGAATACGGATTGGGCAGAGAAGGGCTGAATGGAAAATTTCTCGGTGGAAGTCGGTAGCAAGATGGCAGAGTGCAGATCAGGCTGTGATAAGGGAGCCTGGCTGTAACTGGCAAACTTCCTAGCGAGGAGGGTGGCC